TATATATATATATATATATATATATATATATATATATATATATATATATATATATATATATATATATATATATATATAATAAAAAAACAAAGTTTTCTTTGTATATGTATTTAATTGTTCCCCTCTTGTTTCAGACCAGGTCACCCACACCAACTGCTGAGGTGAGTCAGATTTAGAGTTTTATTTATTACTTATGTGCTTTATTGGAAAAATGCAGTTTAATTTTCATTTCAAATATTCAAGAATTTATTCAAAGATGTTGTACTGTAAGTGGATCACATTTAGATTTTCAGATGAAACAATAGTGTTTTTTTTTTTTACGGTGCATGTTTCCTGTATTCATCAGGGTTACTACGAGATGAGAGAACGAATACTCCATCGGTCGACAAGTCAGGGCTCCATTGGCTCGCCCATTTACAACCGCCACAATTACACTCCCACCCTGTCACGCTCACCACAGCACTTCCACAGACCCGGTGAGCTATGTGTCCATCAGTCTGCTGTGCTCGAAAGACTAATATTAAAATTTCATCAAATCAATTTCTCTTTTCCTTCCATGGATTATTTACAGTTATCTAATATGGCTTTGTGCTCCCACAGTGCAAAATTGAGTTTTAAAATAGAGAAAGACGGTCCAAATCTTCTCTAAAAACTCTAAAAAGGGCTGGGTGTTATAGCAAGTATTCTCATTTGAATTTTAATTTTCGTGATATTTTCATAATTAATTGTGAACTTAATGTTCACTCATATGTCATTTTTCATGTATTAAATGGTTTTATGTAGATAAATGTAACAGTGCCTAATAATAAATAACCAGATCAGTGATCAAGTAACCTTTCTTATATTTATTTTTAAAAAATTATATTAAAAAAATAGTTTGTGTGTAATATATATATATATATAAATGTGTGTGTGTGCATATATATATATATCATTTTTTTTTTTTTTTTAGATTAATCCCTATAGTTAGTGTAAATTTTTATATATAGTAAAAACAGTGTGTAAACATGGCTTAATTTAGTTTTTTCTCATTCTAATTTTTCTAAATTCTAACTTCTGTCTTTTCGATTTTGGTTAAAATTAAGTTTTTTTTTTTACATTAATCCCTTTAGTTAGTTTGTGTATATTTGGTAACACTTTAAGGTGTCCTTGTTACACAAGTTACATGTACTTACTATTATAACAACAATAAATTATGCATCAATTTCTCTTTTCCTTCCATGGATTATTTACAGTTATCTAATATGGCTTTGTGCTCCCACAGTGCAAAATTGAGTTTTAAAATAGAGAAAGACGGTCCAAATCTTCTCTAAAAACTCTAAAAAGGGCTGGGTGTTATAGCAAGTATTCTCATTTGAATTTTAATTTTCGTGATATTTTCATAATTAATTGTGAACTTAATGTTCACTCATATGTCATTTTTCATGTATTAAATGGTTTTATGTAGATAAATGTAACAGTGCCTAATAATAAATAACCAGATCAGTGATCAAGTAACCTTTCTTATATTTATTTAAAAAAAATTACATTAAAAAATAGTTTGTGTGTAATATATATATATATATAAATGTGTGTGTGTGCATATATATATATATCATTTTTTTTTTTTTTTTAGATTAATCCCTATAGTTAGTGTAAATTTTTATATATAGTAAAAACAGTGTGTAAACATGGCTTAATTTAGTTTTTTCTCATTCTAATTTTTCTAAATTCTAACTTCTGTCTTTTCGATTTTGGTTAAAATTAAGTTTTTTTTTTTACATTAATCCCTTTAGTTAGTTTGTGTATATTTGGTAACACTTTAAGGTGTCCTTGTTACACAAGTTACATGTACTTACTATTATAACAACAATAAATTATGCATAATTACATGCAAGTAACCCTAATCCTAACCCTAACCATATAGTGAATACATGTAATTAATTAATATTACTCAGTATTTAAATGTATAATCACACTGTAACAAGGACACCTTAAAATAAAGTGCAACTGTATATTTTTATTTATTAAAATAGTGTGTAAACATGGCGTATATCAATATATATATTTCGCCCAGCCCTAATCTGAATTATTCTCCCTATTGACTTTGACCGTGTTTGTGATTGGAGGCACTGAGCCGTCCAGTGGTCGGAGTTCCCCAGGGGCCAGCACCCCTCCTCTCCCTCTGACTCCTAAACATTTTCACCTGCCAGGTACTGTTGGAGTCTTCCAGCGGCCCACTGTGTGTCAATCCCAGCATGCCCCTGTGTCTAAGCACATGTTCACCATTCATAGCGCTTTCTGTGTCTGGTTATCTCTCTGTCTTAAAGCAACAGTTCACACAGAAATGAAAAGCCTGCACGATCAAACACCCCTAACATTTTCTTTCAGAAAATGACAAGATCTTTCTTTGGTAATAGCATATCCAAAGTGTATGTGGTGCAGTTGTCAGTTTTTCAGATTTGATTGTTTATTGGTGCATTTTGTATGTGTTATCGATTTAGTTTCTCCTTTTAAAACCCAATATCTGTTATATTAAGAACTAAAATGCACTAATTTGACTTTTCCTTTCTTTCAGATCAAGGAGTAAACATCTACAGAAAACCCCCTATCTACAAACAGCATGGTACAGTCATTCAGAATCTTTGAATTCAATGCTTTATCTTTCACAATAAAGCGATGATTAGAATTTTGACACATGCATGTTGATTTATAATGTACAAGCAGTGTTTCCCAGCCATTTTTGTCTTATGTACCCACACAGCTCAGTATTAAGTCACCAACCTCAAAACGTATAACTCTAATTATACTGGATATCATTTAGCATTAT